CAGTTTCTCACAGTTCACTGCTCCAGTTTTCATCAAATTATACTTGTAGTTATACCAGACACTTTCATCATCAATTTCCATATGCCTCAAAGACATGCAGGGACCAGTTTGCCAGCACTGAACTCAAATGCCAGACAATAACTGGAATACAGGATTTCTTTTCCTAGGGTGTCTGAGACAAAGAGCGTAGAATCCTTCAGTTTTTAGGAAGTGTTTTCAGCCTGAACACATTAAAAATGTAGACAATAACTGCTGTGAAATATTGGGTTTGAAATGTCAAATCAAGGGATAAAAATTAACATTGGTTAAACGGTAAGACCTTAGCCATTTCTTTCCAGAAACCTACCTTATATTAGAGAGCACTGCTTTTAAATTTAAGATTCTCTCTTTCCCCACAGACTCAGAGGATTCATAAGCAACCTGAACTATATTTTCTGTACAGCTAAGTTTGATAATTATGATAATTAACACACAATAAACATTTCACCTTCAGGCTCTAGGTTTACGTGTACCTTCAGATCAGCAACGTTACTGGGGACATTTAAAGTGACAAGACTCCTGAGAACGACTGTGAAAGTCTTTTCCTTCATTTAGGGGGTCTTGGTTGCTCAGATTTGAAAGATGTCCATGCTGGAAGCCCTGACACCTTTAAAGGTTTTCTGTTACGTTCATCCTGCAATTTTCTGCGGAGGGACCACAGTTCCAACACGAAAGATAATCAGGATTCTGTAAACTGGAACTAGATGTAGATGTGCTGGAGACCGTGGTTCTTAATGTCTGTCAAAAGCATAAAGTTAATTATGCAAGGCATGAAGTGAAGCTCTATTTGTTTAGATGTAAAGAGGTTAACTCTGAGTAACTGTTGACAATAGTCATCATCATCAGATGAATTTGCCATTAAATCTGTAGTGCTCAAAAAATGTCAACAAGATAGCACAGGAGTAATATTCTCACTTCTGCACTACCATGTAAATTGCTTTACTTGCACTGAGAGCCAAATCTATCTCAGTTTTGCAGTTTGCTTTCCACATGGAATTTTGACCGATGTTGAGAATTTTGCACATAACTTTCAGTGCAATAGGGACCTTCTCTCAGGACTAGAGAGAAGAATTTTTCTCTGTCTGCAGGAATTTCAGTTTGTAGAGTCTGCCATTTGTAGAATGCACTCAGTGTGACAGAAAACCACTTCACTAGATCTCCCCTCTGAAGTCAGAAGGACACAGGTAGAGAGTGTGACTTCTCAAAACTCCTGAGGACACAGTTCGTATTACACCCAGGAACAGAAACATAGTGTGGCCAGGGCCTGCCACAGGGGGAGATAATCTGTGTGATGAAGAGAGAAGGGAGTTGTTGAACAAGTTAAAGGTCAAGGAGAGGAGAAATTTGTAATACACTCCTGTAATACTAATGCCTGTCTCCTGACACACCACCAAGTTTTGGAATTATTTGGTACAGTGGGCTCTGAGTGCCTGAACTGCAGACAAATTAAACTGCAGGTTTTCTCATGCATTGGCTTTGACCCAATGCGTTATAGACCAATTAAATCATAAAATGATCATTTGTGGAAAAAGGCATCCACCTTCTTCTAAACAGGTAAATTGTTATGCATTACACAGGATGTTTAAACACCTCACATTACTCCCACAGTTGTGTATTCCCTGTCACAGCTCATTTACCAGAAGGTGACCCCCAAAAACCTTTACTTGTAGTGTGCCCTGAGCCTTCAGTGCTTGGGAGTTCCTGTAGTAATGTCTTTGCAGTAACTGCTCTCCGTCAAACAACACTTGGATCTTTACATACATACAAAACTGAAGTCACTGCCTGCTCTGTTATGAAGGAATAAATCACCCATATATCCTTCTCAGTTTTGAAAAAAGAATGTTGAGTGGAATGTTCCAGAAAAAAAAAAAGGACTGGTTTCTTCTCTAGGTAACTTGACTATCAGTTCCACTGGGATTTTTTAGAAGGGCAAATGACTCACCTACAACCTTTTTTTGCATAATTTTTTATTTCTAGAGAGGACGAATAGGAAAGTTCCAATCAAATATTTAATTTGTTTTAAAGGGGCAAGGCAGCAGACAAAGTTCTGGTCCATCAAATACAAAAAGACTGCCCAGAGAGCAACTAGTGATATCTCCTTCATTAGTCTTACCTGATGCTCTTTCAGCATTGCAATGTCGTGCTCCTCTGTGTCTGCAGGTTCTGACAGAAGGTGCAAATTTCACTTCCTTTGGAGAATTGTCATTTCCCTCCAAAAGCTGGTGGGCTTCTCTGGAGGGGTCATGGAGTCTTCTTCAAGATGTAGTGTTTGCTGGAGTGTTGAACAGGTTAGTGTATGTGCCCTTGTTTGTGAGAGAAAAAGTGGGATGAAAATTCATAATGGCACAGAATACAAAAACCAAAAACCAAGAGGCAATTTTTTATTTATTTATTTATTTATTTATTTATTTACTTATTTACTTATTTATTTATTTATTTACTTATTTATTTATTTTAATTCAGCTTCTAGGATTCAATTAACTCCCAGTTCCAGTCTGTGATTTTGTTCAGGAGCTCTAAGAGCTAAAAAAACCCAATTTGTATCTTCAAAATTGGAATCCTGGAGGGGTTTCTTTTTCTATTTGTTTGTTCTTCATAGATTATACTATGATCTTCTGTTGTTTTCATGTTGTTGGCCAGCATGCATGCCAAATGCTCTGTGACTTATGGACTACAAGCGAAGAGGGAGAGCAGTGGAGAACTTTAAATCTATCCAACTGTATCCAGCAAATTTGGAATGTTGTGGGACTCAGTGGGACATTAAGCCTAAACTAATGCAGTTTTCTGCTGTTGTCTTCTGTTCCACAGTTAGTGAAGAATTTCTGCTGCAATGAGGGGAATGAGCCTGTTAAGTTACAGGTTTTGGCAGAACTGCAGTGATTTGTATTGACATGGTGAGTCCAGTGACTTTTGGTGTAGACTGCTACCAGTGCCTGTCCACTGGATCAAACTCTACTTTCTTAAAATGTTAACCAACCAAATTACAAATTGTTTGGTACTCCACCTGCATGCCCCTGCCTCTGCAGGCTGAAAGTGAATTTTCCTTGCAGTGCAAATGAGAACCCTTGATGCTCTGGTCTTAAAATGGCTAAAAAGGCCATGTAGTGAAACAAACAAATTAAACCCCTCTGACACTGTGTCCAAACGAAAAGACAGTGTGAAACACTGGCCTAACTTTTTGTGAAACTGTAGCACACCCTGTGCTGGTGTTGGTCTCACACTGCAGACAGAGGCAGTCTCCCATGTGCCGGTGTGGGCATTCCAGGGACTGTGCTGTGGACTAGACTGGGGAACTGACCTGCCTTGAAACCCTTTTTGGAAGGAGGCTTTTTTAAAAAAATGAATTTGTTCCTCTTGTGTGGTTTTCACGTGTTTGAAAATTGGGGGGTTGTTCAATTGTTTGGTTGAAAATTGTTTGGTGTTGGTTGGTTGGTTGATTTTGTTTTGTGGTTTTTGTTTGTTTGCTTGTTCTGTTTTTAACTCCTTTCCGTGTAAAAGATCACTCAAAAAATTCTGTTATTTAAGGAATGAGTTCTCAGAGATGGACTTTAAATTATTCTTTCTTCTATTGCTTCACAGATGCTCAGGGAAGCTTTTACCTGAACAGCAAAATGAGATGGGTATCTGTGTTTCACTCCAGATTACCCTGTGTGTGTCTCAAAAGCTCTGTCTTGTGCTTGGCAGAAACTGGAGGCAGTGGTTCCTATGAACTGTATTAGAGATGACATAATAGATTTTGAAGAATGGGTATGCTTTTTGGGATAGTATAGTATTTTATAATATTTAACATGCATCTCCTGCATCTGTACATTTGATGACACTCACTTTGGATTTGTAGAAGTGAAAAAATAAAATCCAGTGCAAACTCTGACTAAGGTTTCATGTGTAACATACACTTTTAATATTACAAATAGGAAGTATTAAAGTAAACAAGAGCTGTTTGTTCACTGTTTTGAATTTCACCCAGCTAGAAAAATCAGTTCTGTGACACTCACAATAAACAGCTCACTTACTTTTTTTGCTTTTTGAATTTATCTCTGAGATCCTCTTGTCAAGTGTATATTAATAAGTACAGATTCCAGCCAAAATATAGATGTTTTATTTTTCTGTATTTGCATTTTGATGCTGCTCCTGTGAATTAGAGAAAGTAACTCCTTTTCTCAGAAAATCCTTTAATGAATTTAAATATTTTTTTCCTTCTTTTAGCAACTCCCAGGGCCAGCACATTTCTAAAGTGGGTGCATCTTCAGAAAGTATACTGTTCTTGGGGAAACAGAAAACAAGTAGTTTGAAAAAAGGGAAAAAGTTTCGTTGTGTGCTCTTAACAGAAAATGTTCCAGAGTTTGTCAAGTCATATATCAAAAACAGTGTTCCTGGTGACTGTATTACAGCTTGGTGGTGGTGAGGAACACTCAGTATTGTGATAGAAGTGTGAACCTAGAGTCAGGTCCCACTCTGGATTCACACAAGTACCCACGTACCTCTAACTTTCAGGTCCCAGAGCTTGCTTTGTTTAAGGACCAATAGATCAGGTAAGTGCTCACTTCAGTACCAGGACACTGAAACACTGGGGTAATGTCTGATCTGTCTCTTGCCACACAGAGCATCAGAGAGAAGGTCTTTGAGCTTTCTAACTCCCAGTCCAGCCACCTACTAAGGCTTCCACCTTGTTTCTCCCTCTGGGCTAGAAGCTCCTTTTTGTAGTGCTGGGGGCTCCAGATGTATAAGGACACAACTACAGGAAAAGTCTTTCTGCTGCAGCTGGGGAGAAGGGATGCAGCAGGTTCAGGGTCAAGCTCCCCTGCCCCTCCATGTTCCTATGCTGAAGTTGGCAGTGGTACCAATGAAGCTGTCCTGCTCTCTCTCTGTCCTCAGTTACTCATCTCACTCTCTGTCTTGTTCCAGAAGAAGCATTTGTGCAGTTGTGAAGTGGACTCAGTGAGGATATGGACTCACACCGAACCAGAACGTTTTTCCCTGGTGCTGAATGGATCAGTGTCCCAGGTGGGGTTCCCAGCTCTCACAGGAGGGTGAGTGCAGGGACAGAAGTGGGGGGAGTGGGCTGAATGCTGGACTGCTTTTTTTACAGCTGTGTCAGAGTAAGTCAGCTAAAAATTCTTGTGAAACTATGGCCTCAGACTTCATTCCAGGCAAAGTTTCCCTGGAAATGTTACTTTGATTTGATTAGGAGGACGACTCATCTGTGGGCCATTTTGTCTGAAACAGGAATTTTCCTTTGGTGGTTCACAGTGCTTGCTTCTGTTAAAAGGGATAAAGACAATAGTAAAAAAAAAAAAGAGGGACTGAAAGGGCAAATTTGGAAAAAACCTTTTGCCATTTAGTCTTTTTTTAGGTTGATTTTTTCTTAGTTTGCCATGATTCTAAACAGAACAATCCATCCCAGTGGATTTCTGCCTGGCAATACAAGGGACCCTTCTCACAGTTTTCAGTAACAAAGAAAAACCTGCCTGCTTGCCATCTATGTTTGAAGGTTGGCCAGAGTAAAAATTACTTATTTAAGATATATAGGACACTATTTACTCTTAGAGACCTGTTATCTATTTTCTATCTGCTCGACTATTCAAAATTGTTTTGATTTTTTCCTTTTCTTTTCTTCCTTATTTCTTTTTTTTTCCCTCCCCATTGTAAGTGTACCTTTGTGGAAGTCTCCCCTTCCATTTGCTGTCTTGAAAGTAACAGAGCAAACACCTATAATCTTTACTTTGTTACTGTTGTGGCTGTTGACACAATTGCTGTGGATGGG